AACATTACGTCCTCCGGTGGAATTCATAGCTTGTACATCGAGGGTCGTATCAATAATAAATGTAGATCGTTTTTGGTAGATACAGGTGCAACAAGAACTATAGCACGGCCAGAAGTAGTACGAGACCATCTTAAATTATCGCCTGCAACAGTAAAGCTTAGAACAGCAACTGGTGAGATAATTAATAAACTTTGAAAATAAGGCTGTATTTTTTTTTAAATGTATCACTGCTTAAATATAATTTTTATTGTTACATTTTATTTAAAACAGTACATAAAATACGAATCTAATTTTTGTCGATATAATTTGCGTACTACACATAAAATTATATTTCTGAAATTATCAATTTATATTGATATATCTATCAGTAGAAAAGATAGTGTGTCGTATTTCTAAAATCTTTTTTGGTTTTTGCATACCTAATCGATTTCAATAATGTTGCGTTTACGGGACGTTGGGATTTCCTGTAATAGTCGCCGCTAACTCGACAGACTAACGGATTTAGATAATAAAATTTAGATTTTGCATGTTTGTTTGTACAATAATTTTAATTTGATTGGATAAATGAAAAGAACATGCAGTTTAGAGTATTTTCTCATAATCTATCTATAGATGTGATGCGCAATATTTTGGAAGACGTGTGGTTTTTTGTTTTTTGACTTCTTACAAGTCCCGACATGTCTAAAATCAGACAATAATGACTTTGTGTATCATTTGTGATAAGCAAAAGGTTCACATGAGGGGCATGGCGATTACTTGTAAAATACAGTGGCCCAACTATTTCATATTGCCAGTTAAGAAATTAGATTCTAGCTCATAAACATTTACTGAAATATTATTAAGAGTCTCAAACTTTTTAATGTCTTTTAGTTTCATCGGAAAGTCAATGCCTTCAAAATTCAACAAAGTATCGTATGGTGGATACGATTCTGGTTTGGTTGGGTTACCAGCGGCAAGAAAAACAGCTGCAATAACACTCCACGCAAAACACTTAGTATATTTGTTTTCCATATTTAAAATAGCGTGTTTTCTTGCTAAAGGTGTTGGTACACGAATATACGTTGATGCAGAAATACTACTAAATTTGTTGATGTTAACATCTAAAAACATTATTTCCTGTAATACCCAATTTAAATTTTTCTCTTGAAATTCTGAGGCTTGTGTCATCAGTGCTTTCTTAAAATCAGCAAAGGCTTTATCCAGTTCAGTGCTGATAGATATAATTTTATTGCATGTGTTCATGGACTTGATACTGATAGATTGGTGTTGGGTTTTAGATAAATAGCAAATATTTCAAAATTTACTTTAATCGTATTGTGCTGATGTAGATATGCACTCAAGATGCTTAAAACTTTGGGTTTAACATCTTTTCAAAATCTATAATCTATTGGGGAAAACCAAACCAGTTAAAGAAAACGAATGGTTTGACGAGGAGTGCCAAGAAGCAACAGATAACAAAAACAGAGCATACCTAAAGACAAATCAAGCTGGATGCACAAGAAGAGCAAAGGAAGAATACCGGACCCTAAGAAGAGAAGAAAAACGACTACATAGAAGAAAAAAAAGACAATTTGAGCAAAAGCAGTTGGAAAGCACAGAATGGCTAAGAAATCAAAATGAAACTCGAAAGTTCTACAGAAACTTAAACAAAATGCGCAAAGAGTTTAAGCCAAGAATAAGGAGCTATAAGGATGTAGAAGGAAACATCCTAAATGATACGGCGTCAATCCTAAACAGATGGGTTGAATTTTTCGATTCTTCTCTTCTTCATGTACCATGTCCTTTCAGAACGTTGGTTACCATCATAGCTATTTTAATTTTATTCACTGCCACCCTAAATAGCATGCTTGTATCTACACCATACCAATCTCGCAAGTTCTTCAACCATGAGGTTCTTCTTCGTCCTGGACTGCGTTTGCCTGCTATTTTTCCTTGCATGATATTTTGTAGCAATCTATATTTGGGACCTCTCATTACATGTCCGAAATATTCCAGCTTTCTCTGCATGATGCTTTTTATGATCTCAGTAGTCTTACTGAGACGTACAAGTATTGTGGAGTTACGAATCTTCTTCACCCCATCGAAAATTTTTCGATGCAAAATTTAATGGCCATCTATCGAAGAAGCAGATAACACCCTAGCAAATCGAAATGATTGGAATCCTTTTAACCCAAACGAAAGACCACCTACCATCGAAAACGTTGCCCAAGCCATTAAAAAGCTTAAAAATAATAAATCACCGGGAGTTGATCAAATTTGCAGTGAGCTCTACAAGAATGGTGGCGATGCCCTACTAAAGACACTGCATACGTTTTTACTTCTTGTTTGGCATAATGAGACCATGCCTTGTGAATGGTCTCAAGGCGTGATATGCCCGTTACATAAAAAAGGTGACCAGCTCCAGTATGACAACTATAGAGATATAACCCTGTTAACAACTGCTTACAAAATACTAGCAAATATTCTCTACGAAAGGCTGCAAGTTTACACAGTGGGCATAGTTGGTAAATATAAAGATGGATTCAATCCAGAAAAATCAACAATTGACCAGATTCATTTAATAAGACATATTCTCGAGAAAACATTAGAATTCAATATTGAAACCCATCACCTATTCGTCGTTAGAATTCAGGGAGAGAGTTCTAGTTCCTTTGAGATAAAGGATGGACTCAGACAAGGGGATGCTCTGGTTTGCCTCCTATTTAATATTGCCTTAATAAAGGCAGTCCGAGATACACGAATTAGGGATGGCGGTACTATTTACAATAGATCGATACAAGTTTTAGCATATCTGATGACATTGACATAGTAGGGCGTAGCAAGCGAGATGTTGAGCAATATCTCCTAGAATTGGAAACAGCGGCGAAACAGGTCGGTCTAGTCATCAACGAAGACAAAACCAAGTACATGTTGGTTACAAAGGATCCGATAGCAAATGAGGAACGAGAAACAGTCTTTGGAAGTCATACCTTTGGACGTGTTGACAACTTCACATACCTTGGGTCGCTATTGATTGCTACCAATAAAACAAGCGAAGAAATCAAAAGACGAATAAATCTTACAAATAGGGCATACTATGGACTCCAAAAGCATTTCCACTCAAGAAACATTCAAATAAGAACTAAAATTATTATATACAAAATATTGCTGAGGCCGATCCTCACATATGGAGCAGAAACATGGACTCTAACGCAGAAAGATGAAAGACTTTTGGGAATATTTGAGCGTAAAATACTCCGCAAAATATTTGGAGCTGTAAACGACCAAGGGCAGTGGCGCAGAAGATATAATTTTGAATTGTATCAGCTCTTTGATGAGCCAGATGTTAACGTTCATTAAAACACATCGACTTAGATGTGCTGGACACATAATACGAATGCCAGAAAATACGATTGCTAAAAAGCTAACCACAGGAACACCTGTAGGAAAAAGAAGCAAAGGCCGACCGCGAATTAAGTGGTTAGATGGAGTTGAAACCGACTTACGAATATTAAAAATCAGAAGATGGCAACATGTTGCCAAAAACCGAACAGAATGGCGACGAATCTTAGAGCAGGCCAAGATCCACAGAGGATTGTCGAGCCAAAGATGATGATGAAAAATCTATAATAATCCAGTTTTTTAAAACTGTTAAAACCATAAGATGCAATTCTATTTTTAAATGCATGTGTCAATTTTGAAACAGTGCCATCTATCACTTCCAAATTAAGCGGTCCTAATCTTTTTTTGAGAATATAATAATCCCCATTATGGTCATTATGACTATTCACATTTTTGTATTTACATGTTTTCATATGTCGCGACAAGTTATCCGAGCGCCAAAACGATTTATTGCACATACTACACGAATTCATGATTCCCGATAAACTATTGAGGAGCCCCCACCAATTTGGCTTAAATATGTTATGTGAATATTAACCCCTCCATGTTATTTTTAGACGATGTTAATCGAATGCTATTTTTAGACCGGATATTGTCTAGACACACCAGATGCCCAGGTCGATGACCTTTAGCTATTTTTAGATATAGGTCATTAAACTTGAGTTATTTTTAGACCGGATATTGTCTAGATTCTTCTAGACTACCTTCTAGTCTACCTTCAGCTATTTTTAGATATTGGTCATTAACCATGGGTTATTTTTAGACCGGATATACTCTAGACTGCCAGGTGTCTCTCCTCCTCATTTTGGGGGTACAATATACATCTACTCATAAACTGCGCAGACATTAGTTTAGTTAGTTGATAAGATAGTATCGTCCTGTAAACTTATTAATAAATATATTTATATAAAGTAGAAATACTCGTTTTATTGGTAAAACGCTACAATATGTTATATATTCACCGCCTGTTGTTCTCATTAATTGGGCCTATACTACGTTCCACGTTTAGAAAATAACATTGCGAAGATAGGCCCATGTATTTCTTATGGACGATAGCAACGCGGCGTTGCCACGACACACACAAGCACAATTTAGGGTTGTATAATTTGTATTTTCGTTTCCACAAACATGAATTAAATTAATGTTTTTTAACGTAATTGACCAAAAGTGCCCATTCGAAACAAGAGATGAAAAGTAGGGAAAATGATTTTAATTATAATTTTAATTATATATTGATAAATAGTATTAGAGTCATAAAGTAGGCCTAGGTTTAACATTTGATGCACGACAGGTAAAAGAGAGATATCTGACTTAGTTGATGGCGCAGAAGATAATTATTTTAATGAGAGTTTGTTGAGAATGAGTATAGTACTATACAATTTTACAAATATGTATATGTAGTATATGCTATATTAAAGATGCATTAGGTTAATGATATTTATTACAATATTATGTGAACAAAAAATATTTTTGAAGATGAACAAAAAATAAATTTTTGTTCATCTACGGCATTCGCAATAAATCTCACTAAAAACTATTTTAATCACAAAAGTTTCTTTCCCATTTTTGAGCACAAAGAAGGTAAGCTTTCGCATGTCCTACTGTAATAGATAACTTACCTCATCATCATCATTGGATTTGTTATTTTCTACTTCATCTTCTCCGGAAGATTTATCATTTTCGATGTTCTCAATATCGCTTTCGTCTGTTTCATCAGTCTCATCATCGTCCAGTTCTTTCTTAACTTTGGAAGTATCTTTCTTTCTAACTGGGGCTGCTGGTTTGGGAGAATCTTCAGTCTTTGGTTTTGATGTAATGTTCGTCTTATTGACTGGTTTTGATTTCTTCGTTTTTTTACCACCTACAATAGAAATTTATGTTATTAATTATTTATGATGCTTAAAAATTGGAAAATCAAAAAGGAGGTGCGATTTGTCACTTTGCAATAAAACATTGAGCAATATTCAATAACCCCGAAGATTAGGTCGAATATTCTAGAAATAACTCTGCGCTGACACATCAAACATATTCACACACCTCCGAAGACTTATACTACTAAAAGGCAAACTATACCTGATAATTTCTACTTGTGTATATATATATATATATATATATATATATATATATATATATATATATATATATATATATTGTTATGCTATTTAAATTGTATTCTATTGCTTATTTAGAAAAGATCCTGTCTATATTTATTAAATGATCTAATCTCCAATTAATCACAATAAATCAGCATTAATTAATTACAATCTCAGGCTATTCAACTTGTACTATTTATCTTTGATCGTGGATTCAAAATATTTTCCAATTGGCTTCCTAATTGGGATAGGTAATATGACCTGAATAAAAATACACAGAATTTCAACTGAACTATATGTGAGATGTCCTTTATTTTAATGAAATTTTATATGACAATCAATGCTGTAATAGTTGCAATATAATACTTTAAATATATGAGAAGTTGTTTTCTATCATGGACCCAAATGTTATTTTACATTGATTTTTAATATGTGTTATAACTAAGCTCTCTTTATAATTTTTTTCTTTAAATGATCGCAAAATTAACTGTCTCTATTATTTATTCAATTTATTTAATTAATCAATGAAAACCACACTCCTGCTCTAATGAAAATTGACTGACCTTTCGTTCTCTGCCGTTGTAATTCTATGGCCACGCCATAAAAAAAACCTTTCTCTGCTTCTGCTCCTATTGTGGTCCAGATGACGTACACCTTTCTCCTATCTGTCCTTGTATCTGCAACCCAACAACTCGTGTAATTCTATGCAGCCTCCTTTTGAGCGAATCTCCGCGCCTGTTTATAACTTCAAATGTTTCCGGCTTCGTCTGATATTAATATTCTTATACCCTTTGGTTTTTCTATCTCTCTGTACCCCGTTCCTCACACTGATCAGCTTTTACACAGCAAATAAACACACCCGGTAAATTACGTCTTCGGGACTTCAAACAAACACAAACCACAAAGCTCCTTCCTTATTGGGCGACGAAAACTGACTAACTAACTTTTTTCCTCTCTCCTATCTCATAGCCAAAACCACTACCTCCATTGCATTCAAAAATTGACCAATAAAAATCATCCACCTCTGTGACGTATATCGTTACCAACCAACTCTCTTTATAAAACGTCATCCCGTCATTGGGTTCTTATCGATAATATTTGAAAGTCTTGTCTCTGAGGCCTAATGAACAATTCTTCGAACGACTTAAAATACATATTTTGTCTTATACAGGATGTTTGAAAATTTATATGCCCGTGTCTTTATGAAATATCAAGAATTTTAATTTTTATTTAAGTAATAAAATTTGTATATCGGTTTTTTATTGCTTATGGACATTCAAAAGTACAACAATATATATAGTGGTCTCTATTAAAAATCTTTGTTGTTTCGAAAGAAACTCAATATTTCGCTATTTATTTTATAGCTTCATCAGTACACTGTAAAACAATTTTAAAATTATGTAATAAATGTCATGATTAAATTGTCACGTTAGTCACAGTAATATGATTAAAAAATTAAAATTACTTTAAGTGTAAAAACAAAAATAGCAATAAAAGAAACGTTAGAAGAATGATATTTCTTAGATGAATTATTAACGTTGTTTGTTATTAAGGTGAATATTAGCTATTTTCAATATTTATAAATTTTGTTCAATATATTACAATATATGTTACTTAACTGTCCAGTGTCCAGTATAAACAAAAATAAAAAACACTTTAAATTATAAAACAGACACTGGACAGTTAAGAGTATGAGCAATGAATAATTTAAAATAACATATATAAGTATAGGGTTTTTCACGGTTTTCAAAGAATTAGTTTGTAAGTACTTTTTTTATCTTTTTTATCTTTATTATAACTATTATGAAACACACATATATATCTAATATAGACAATATAAATTTGGAACAACCTATCTTAAATTTGAAATTCTTACAATAATTAAATTATATTAAAAAATTTGGTACCTTTCTATCACTGAATGCCTAAATGAAATTGTTTTCCAAAATAAAGGGTATAATCACCACTCAATATCTTCTTAATAAGCCTCGGTTATCCTTGTATTTGTGAAATTGCTTTTTCCAAATATACCACAATATTTTAATTATCAGCTTCTAACAATTTAAATTATTTTTCTTCTTATAGCATTTATAAATGGGCAAATTATTCTTCTTTATTTATTGTTTCTTCTCTGCTTCTTTCTTATAATCTTATTTTTTCTTCTTAATAATCTTCAATCGCCATATAGATATTATAATTTTAATATACTTTTAAATATACTTTCAAAATACTATAAAACTTTGAATCACTGATTACTGCATACTGTACTGTATAATTATTACTTTAGTACTGACCACTGTATATTATCTGCTTGTACTATTTACTGACTAACTTCTTAATAAATTCACTAACTAACTGTCGAACTGTCTCGTGTTTAACTTCTTAATTAACTAACTCCATACTGTCACTGTTACTGTCTTAATTAACTTAACTGTCTTGAACTAACTGTCTTAAGGAATTAATGAATTAACTCCATACTGTCACTGTAACTGTACTAATGAATTATAACTGTCTCACTGTTACTGTCCTAGTTTACTCTCAAACTGTCTTGAACTAACTGTCTTAATTAAATAACTTCATACTGTCCCACTGTTAATGTCTTAATGAATGCTTGCTCCAAATTACATCGTATTTATATCTTTTCATCGTTCCCGAATATTCTAGCAATAAATCATGTTCGAATTTGTTGTATTTCATCAATATCTGAATGTTCTCGAATAGTCTGCTCCGCAAATAGGGTTAATTTTTTTATATTGACGTTTTCTAGAGAATTCTTTACGCTTCTATCGAGAATTTTATGTACATTTAGGCTTTCAGATCAGAATATACACTTATATATAAATTAAACATCTTAAATTAATACATAACAGTATTTTACATCCGTAATTATTATTCAAATTAAACATCTTAAATTAATAAATAATCCCATTTCACATCCGTAATCACTCAACTGTCACTTATTCAGTGTATATTTGGTTGCCTATGCACATGGCTCACTTAAATATATTTATTATAAAATAAAAAAAACTTATTATTATGCTAAATTTTTAAAAATACCCTCAAATAAATATTTTTATAATATTCCCTAGTCTATAACTTATAAATTATTTCTTTAATCACTATTTAAGTTTATTAATTAAAAATCATAATATTATTATGCTAATTTCTTCAATATCTACTATTATATCAATACACCAAAATTAATTTTAAAATAAATAATTCATTTATTATTTTTTTAAATATTAATTTTCTTATCCATACACATTCGTAAATATAGTAATTAATATAATTAAATAATTTAATTTCTATCTAAAATTGTCTTATACTGTGCCTATGTTTCCATATCAACTGTCAATTGTCATGTCAAATATCTTTTGTTTACAAAGAAGATAGATAATATTAATAAGATTCCATGTTTGTTTATTAATAGACAAGATTTAGGAAATCATTCTTTTCGTTCAAAAGACTTTCTTTAACATAAATGGTAAGTGCTACACTTTTCATATTGTTTTAGAAAAACATTTACACAATTAATCTTATGCATAATGTAGCAATTTTCAGTCCCCGACTTAATATAGAAAATAACTGTATTCTGGAAATTGTCTAACTGGTTGCACCTAGTAAATGGTATATTCGTAACCTTCTGTAAATGATAACGGAAAAGAAGACGACGTTGACTTGACAGAGGGAGGCTAGGGACGTATTTCCGGAAAGGAAGGATTTTGACGGCGGGACGCGAGCTGGTGAAGTACAGAGGATGGTGGTGTGACAAAAAATATAGAAATTTCAATTTTTTCTTGGCTATCAGTGCCGATTTTTGAAAAATAAATAAGTAATGTGCCTTACCGAATTATTTAAGTTATTCGTTATAAAGTTTATTTGTGTGATTACAAATAGTTCACGTGTTGTAAGTTTTTGTGAATAAAATTGTAGATATTTCAATTATCCACAGTTAATTCACAACAAAAACATATACTGTTTTGCTGTTAATACATTTCGAGAGTCCATAGTGGTTCAATAACGAGAATAGCAGATGTATCAGGGTTGTTTCTTTTGCCAAGCGACTTCTGATTGGGTGTTGTCTTGCTGGATAGTAGTTCGTGGGGATTATTAACGCTCCTGAACCAAGGTAACAGCTTTATTTATTACCTTTATACGCCAGGCAGAGATCAAGTAATTGAGGAACTTTTCTAACATAGTTATATGTGAGCTCTGTAGTTTTAAAATAATTATTGTCAATTTTCGTAGTTAAGTATTATTAGTAAATAAATATTAAAGATCTGTTGAGCTCAGCATTCTTGTTTTAATATGACAGGCAATGCTCAATAAATAAATTTATGGTTAATTTGTTATTGTTGAATAAATATTGTGTTTCCTCATAGGTGTCATTAGACACGCATTTACTACACTTGCCTTCGTATTATTATTTTATTTTCGTATACGACATAAAACTTACGTACTGACGATATTTTTCTTTCCGTTTTAACTTTTTTTTTATAATTTTAATAAAGAGTAGATGTACTAGGGGTATTCCAGACTGATGCAACAGTAAATGCGATATTATACCGGTTATACTCAGTACCAAAGATTTTATGTCGGATTCTTTGTTTATATTATGACTATATAATTTATGTCTATGTCAATATGTTTTTTCCTTTTTTTATGACGGAACGAATTTATGTTTATGTTGCGTTGTGAGATTTCCTAGTGAATTCCAGTGCGCATTCAGTGTCGAACCTAGAACTAACATTTTTCTTATATTTTTTTT